AGCTATTTTATATAGTACAAAAAGAGAATAATAGAAGAGCACAGAAAACTATAACTAGAGGATTTGATCATAGCACCCTTCATTCCCATTAGTTTCCCAGTTCCTGTTTCTGTTATCCAGAATGTAAACCACACTGTCTCTATTACCTGTCCATAATGAAGTACCAAATAGAAAGTTCTAAAATTCAGAATTTAATATTCCTTTATTAAGTTGGGTTCCATTAAAAATACTTTTTCTAGGTCATATATGAGTGAGTGATCACTGGGGGAAGCTGGGAAATGAGTGGGATTGAGTGAGATGCTTTAGCTGGTGTTGTAATAAAGGGAAGAAAAACTTTATTAGTATCTGTTGCTTAATACTGTAAGCAATGTGCAGTAACCATTTTCATTAAAAAGCAAAATTTCTTTACAAATACTAAAAAGTGCTTTCTTTATGCAGCAATTTTTTACTATCAATTGTCTGTCTGAACTTCGAAGGTTTTAAAGCAACGTTAATACCTTATTCAAACAAGTCTATCAACTATTGCATTCTATTAAGATACTTATCCAGAGCACAGGAATTAGAGGCAGCTAAAAGCTTGTCACAGTTCTAACTAGCAACTGTATGGCAAAGAATGATGTGTATCTACGTTCACATGCAGCCTGTTCAGACTTAAAAGTGCGGTTCATGTTTGCGCAGGTGGGTATTTTTTCAAAACATGTAGATGTTACTTTGAGTAACCACTTTTTCATTCTTTTTGCAATTATGACAGGTAAAGCTTTGTAGCATTTAATTACTTGTCTTGCACAAAAATGGTTTGACCAATCTTCTTTACCTTCTGAGTTCATATAGGAAGTTTTGACAGTTTCTCTCAGTCACTTTCATATGTTTCTACATACATTGGTTGGTTTCATAGTGTTGCAGAATGGATGCAAATTGTAATGTTTCTTAAAAGCAAGACTACTTTCATATATAAGTTGTTGCCACTTTGGTTTTGTTGTATTTTTTCATTCTTCATACTTCTTCCTTCTTTTTTTCTCAGTATCTGTGGAAAGTAGATTTTTCCTAGTTGATCAGATCTTTTATTTTCTGTTAATAGTGAGAAAGTGAGGCTGTGCAGGGATAGAAAAAGGCTTCTTGAGAGAAGAAGAAAGAAAGTATCATGTGTAATTGAGTTTGTTGTCAGCTATTATCTTAAATATCTGTAATTTTATAAGAATGTTCTTAATGAGTTAGTCAGAGGACTAAACAGTTGTGTATGATTCAGGTCAACAGAATCCAGGCAACTTCTGCTGTCTATTTGGGGAATGTCAGTGTCCGCAATAGTATGAATCAGCAGTGTGGGCTTTGTGACACGTCTGAGAAACTGTTTAGTGGTCAAGTCCTCCAGATCTGGTGCCTGTATTCATATACTGGTCTGTTGTTTGTCATACCGTCACCTCTAAGCAGAGAGGAAATCCCTTGTTAGTCACCGCCAGTGGACATCGTGTAGAAAGTCACTTAAAGATGAAATAACAATTACCTGCTTCAAAACATTTGTGATTCTTTGAAATCACTTCCAACACATTACATGTGTTTTTATGTGCTTAATTGCAAAGACCTCCTCCTGTGACATTGTGGTCTGATGGCAAAATTGTGGGAGCTTTTAGCTTGCTCTACTCTCAGTAATGGAGAGTCACAAGAGAGCAAGAGGCATCCCAAGACTACCAGATGCTGCTGGTCAGCCTAGTCTAAAACTATTATGAAACATACCCGTTTACCAGGAATGTATTCCTCAAGTTGAGCTGAAGATTCACAGTTAGTGCAGAGTAGGAAGCAGGCACATTCCTTTATATTGCCGTGTATCATATTTTCTAACCTTTTGTTGTGAGCTTTTTATCGATTTAGCTTAGCTATATATTATTAGTATGTTTAGTTTCTCTTACTGAAGTTTTTGACATGCCATTAATATGTTATTTCTTTAGTTTACCTGTGTGAAGTGATGCTTTATAAACTAACTTCTAATTTCGTGTCCTTCGTATTCCGCACTTTGATATACTATGGAAACTCAGTGAAATTCTCTGACATTCCTTAGTCTTTTTAACTACTTCTAACAGCATTAATCTGTATATATACATAATTGTTCTTGTCTCTGTGTTGTGCACTCTAATTTAATTATTTATTTTATATATGTATCTCTAATTCCTTTTGTGGACCTCACTGTTGTGGTTTAGCTCTTGATTGCACATGGATAAACCTGTATCAGGTCTAGAATTTAGCACTAATGGTTAGTAGTGCAACAACTGCCTGAAATTTATATCTTGTTATTTAAAGTGTGATAAAATGTGGAATGTTAAAGAATAAAGTGATTAGGCTTGGCAAAGCTTTGAAAATTTTTTTTAATCATTCATAGCAAGCAAGCCTTGTCATGTAGAATCATTGTAGAGGTTGACCTGTCTATTCATGCAATTTATTGTTCTTAAAATTTGAGTGCATACAACTCAGTTAAGTCTACAGGGCATTATTTGTCAAACATCATCTCTGAATGGCTGAACAGTTTTGGCAGTTGTATATTAAATTCTTGCAGATAAATGTGAACAGGTGCCTCCCGTGCTACAAAATATTAATATTCCAAGAAACTTTACTCTTGTAACAAGTTCTAGTGGCTTAGAAACTCACTTCACAATCCAGAGTGATTGCTAACTTATTTCTGTGTTACTTTCTCTGATGCTTCACAAGTACATGTTGAAAGGATTAATTTCTTCTATTCATTTGATAGATATGTGCAGAGCTATTACAAAGAATTGATATTTTGCCTTTCATTCATTGTCAAGGTCCATATCAGGTGATCCTTTAAAATTAATATCCTTGGGAAGTGATGATTCTAACATACTTTATCAAACTGCTTTTTCTCCCTTTGAATTATGAATTTTTAGTATCTTGTGGTAGGAATGCTGGCTGTAATTCTTGAAACCAAGCTGTTTTATAATACTCATTCTCTAAGTTTCATTTCCGTGTGTAATAGTCTACTTGAATTGCACCATAGCTAAATCTGGCAGTTGCTTATCTTAGGGAAAGTATTCTGCCTTGGTGTACTGCAAAAGTCATGCAAATAGTGCTCCAGATACTGTTATCTAGCCTGATAAATGGAACATTCATACAGGCAGTAACTGCTGGAAACGGCAGTTAACAATGACCATGCCCTTGTGTTCAAGCAAACTATTTTTCATTTACCTATGGAAAAGGCAGACTCCTTAAGGAGAAAAGCTAGCTGGGTCAGCCTTGAACTTGGATTACATGACTGTTTGGCAAATTGCTCATGGTGATGGGGTTGCGTGTTTCTGTCAGCAACCTGGTCTGCTGGAAATGAGAGTTGCCTTCCCATATTACTAAGAAGAAGTAAATAGACAAAGAGCAGATTTTACTCCTAAGTCTGTCTTCTATGCCTTTTGTGGTAGATGGCAAGTATAATGGATACCTTGAGCTCTTTTAGTCACTGAAAGTGCTTGATGTTGCAAACAGTAATCAGGAGTCTCTTTTGACATTGAAATTGGTTCAGATAATCACTATTAATCATGATCTAAACCAACCACGGAGGGACTTTGGTTTAAAGCATCTGTTAAAATCTTGAAAAGCATTGGTAAGTTTTTGTTCTTTTATTAAAGATTTTCATTGCTTGTTAAGCATAAAAGGACGTCAATTTGCAGCTAAAATAGCCTTCATTTAATTTGATATTTTGTTTGTTACCCGGAGAGCAACTCAGTGTTTGTATACTCATTGTCATGCTGATGTACACTGACATTTAATTGGTTTTAACAATGAAGTTATCTGAGGTGTATCTGTCACAAAGGAAAAAGGTGAACTAGGTAGCACAATTTCGAAGTGTAGAACTAGCCAGTTCACCAAGAAGAGGAAGCATTATTTATAGTTAATACATTAAATTAATAGTTTTTGTCTTATTGCCCTTTTGGATTTTAAAAGCAAAGAACAGTATATCATACCTCATTTTTATTTATATGTTGACAGAATTTCTTTTCGATTTCCAGCTAAGGCTGAATGAGCTGGTCATTGAATTCAAGTAGCTGAAACATTAAAACAAAGAAAATGTTCTTTTAACATCTGCAGAAAAAACTATTGCTGTCAAGAGCTGGTTTAGCATTTCAACAAGCTGTACACCCAAATGTCCAGTTAATGAATTACTTTTGACTATCTTTGAAACTTTAATAGCAGCAATGTATTACTGGAATATTGTTTGAGTCTAGTTTAAAATTTTTGGTAGCTTGTGGTAAATATTATGTTAAATATAATTAAAGCTGTAACATACAAGTTAATTTCTCAAGTGGAAATGCATTTTTCACCAAACTTTTAGTCTGTAGTGAAGAGGAATGAACAGAACTTGGACTTGCAGAAGATGAAGAGCAGTACTTTAAGCTGAATGTTTAAATGGCTTTCCTGCTCAGAACACTGATGATGAATGAAATACAAACCATGGTCACACTGGCCTCTGGAGCCCTGCTGCCTGTCATGTGTACTGGCTGCACTTGCATTTCTTTGTCAGACTGAAGACTTTCCCACCTCCATTAAGCTGTTAGCTGCTGCTTTGCAGGAGAAAAGGGGCAGTAGTGGTGGTCATGATGATGGTCTGGGAATGTAAGACACAGAGAGGTTTTAGCAATGCCAGTATCATGGGTGATTATGATCAGATGCCTGTATTTCAGCTGGGGCTGTTTGTACATATGTCTTTTCTAAGTATTCCTGTTTATTGTTTGTCTAACTCTGCTGTCTTTGTTCTTAAATTTGATTTTCAGATTTTTGTCAAAAGTGAGCAGAAGCCAGAGAAAAAGACTCGCAAACTTTTTATACCACAGTGTGATAGGGAGGGTCATTTTTTGCCCCAGTGTTGCTGGCCAAGCGATTTTTAATCACTTTGTTTTATGAAATATTTTCCCATGGTATGACTGTATAGTGAGCGAAATGTAATGAAATGGTGTTTCAGAGATGTTCTTTATGAGGCTGGTGTTAATTCGTGCTTTCTTTTTCAGCTAATCTGCCTGTACCTACTATTGCTGCAATAGATGGAACTGCATTAGGTGGTGGCCTAGAACTTGCATTAGCCTGTGATATACGAGTGGCAGGTAGGTCTAAATCCTGTTTACAGAATATAGCATTATTAGTGTTATATACGGCTCGACTAATCCATCTTTTGACAATAGTCTTACAAAACTTACTTCGTATTTGGCATTGTTTATAACCCGTTATTCTAAAGGACTTTAGCAGAAACCTGTCTGTGTGCTTGCTAATGTTTAATTTCATACAACTTGCCAATGACAGCAGGTTTGGGTTTGTTACATGTTTTATTTTATTTTTGTGAGCCTCACCGTATCACTATTGCCAGAAGGGTTATGTTGTTGTTTTCATGTTTTATTTAATAATTAAAGTATTCTCCTCTTATGCATTGGAGATTTGATCTTATCTAAATAGGCTGAAGGGAAAAAGCAAAAGTTGCTATAAAAGTTGTTATAAAAGAAAAGTAGCAACAATGCTTCAAAGGGGGACCTTGACCTAATAAGCTGTCAGAACTATGAAACCAGTTGATGGAAAGTAAGTGGAAAGTTGGTCTTTAATAGTTGCCAGTAACTTAGGATATATAAAGCTATTTGACCTTAAAAAATATTCTGTCACCTAAAGAATTCAAATAATCAGAAACAGAATTCTACCCTGTTTTAAGCTGCCTTATTATTTTAGTATTTTACATTTGGGAGCAGGTCTCTGTTACTCACTGGAATTGCTTACTTGCAATGTGAAAATTAATAAGATAAAGAACTTGCCTTGATGGCAGATCAGTTAAATCTGTTTGAAGACTTTAATAAATGCTTTTATAAGTGATTTAGTGGGTTTTTTTTGAAAGAAATAAAATAAATTAACAAACTTGTAGGTCATTATTACATATTTTGCATAGATTTTTTCCTGTAGATTATAGTAAGAACTCATTTGCATTCTGCTTTTCAGCATCTTCTGCTAAAATGGGCCTAGTTGAAACAAAGTTGGCAATCATTCCAGGTGCAGGTATGAATGTTTTGCCTTTGATGCAGTGGATAGCTAAGTAGCATACGCTCTTAGTATTACATTTTGAATTGCTGTTTATGAATTTATGCTTATTTTTATATTTCTGTTAAGGATCGTGACATGTTTTACAGCTTATTGCTCTTATTACTTACCATTTCTTATTTTCAGGGAGTGGCACTTGTATATTACGTTTTTAAACAAAGACTTCATTCACTAAGTCAGTATTGAGTGATACTGTAAATGATATTTGATATCTTGATCTGAAAGCTGAATAATTTTGCTAAGGGTCAGGCTAGGAAAAAGATAGGTTTGACTGTAAGTGTACAAAAGCAGTAATTTAAATAATCATCCACTTTTACCTAACGTGTGGTACTTTAGGATTCAAATTCTGTTTACATACTCCTTGTAAATTGGTTGTAAAGAGTTTAAAACTGAAAGTATAGCTGTGAATAAATCTGTTGGCATCATTTTTTGAGAGTTTGGGAGTAAAAAAATCTATTTGGAAGGCCAGTTCAGTAACTGTTCTGAATTCAAGATGAATGAAGGTTATGTAATGAATAATGTTCAAGGAGGTCTTTGTGTTACAAAATCTTTTGGTTTTATTTTGTGGATAAATAATTGTCACTTGAGTTAAGATATTTGCCAGTCTGGGAAAAGGGCAGTAACTTAGCAAAAAGTGCATCCCCTGTGAGCCCCACCTAGTTTTGCCCTTAATTTCTGGAAATTCTGGGGAACTTTATGCTGTTGTTTCTTTGTTCCTATTTTCTTTCAAATAGATGGAACCTATTTTGAAAGCACTAGATACAGTTCTAACAGATACTGGTGCAGGCCATGTAGAGAGAACAGTAAAACCAACTGTAATGGGAGCACTGCTATGAACTTTGTGTGTGAAACTATCCCATCCTATGAATAATCTGGACAATTATTGTGCGATTTCGATTGCTGTATTATTAAGGTTATAGTTGAGATATGATTTCAGTCAATACCTTCTGTGATGAGAACTACATTTTACATGAGGAAGAGAGTTGTGGTTGATGACTAGTATCTTTTTAGCAGTGGTTAAAGATAATAATGCATGTGATTTTAAGGATGTATTTCCTTCTAGTGGTGGTGTCATGAAACAGTGTGACTTGATAGTAAGTCCCAGTGGAGAAAAACACAGAAATTTATGTTTACCTTTGTTGTCAGTTTTTCCCCTTTGTCCTCCCACTCCTTCCTTTCATAATAAATTCTGCAGGACAGTATTGGAGACATACCCTCCAGTTCAAGATATTCAGATCAAGTTCTCCATATATTCTCAATATTCAACTTCTGTGGGTTTGAAAATTTATTTATTTTTGCCACATCCTAAAAGAGTGATTTGAGCATGTCTTCAGCTCCTTGAAGATATGAACAGATTCCACCATGTTACAATGCCTTTTATACTTAAAACATTTTGCGGTGTGTTCAATGGTGAGTTTTTTTCCCTATCCCTATCAGCCTTTCTGAGGAATGTTTTTCCTAAGTATATTTGAGCTTATCACAGCTTTTTCCTGATCACCCTGTACATGGCATCAGTGTTGTTGAGCAATGACAGTGTTTCAGCCCTTTTTGCTTCTTGTCATCCAAATAGTAACGTTTTTGTCATCAGAAAGTGAAGACTGAATGAAGGAATTTTGCTTATGTCATTTAGGTAGAGAGAAGCCAGATAGGCACACTTGAACCAGAGGCTTCATTGTTAATGTAATATTTTCTAATAGTGTTTACTTGAAGCTCTTCTGAGCCCAAACAGAACTGGGTGGGGAGCTGAAAAGTAACCTGTAGCCCTTAGGAGGCCTCCATAGGTTTCTGAAGCCGTCTAGTACACCTGAAACATGCTGACAAACTGTTGCTTCTTCAAAGTAGGTCCCTACACCATGGCAGGTTCCTGGTTTTATTCTGGTCTGTCAGCTGCCAGGAATGCATGATAGATGTAAAAATTTTAAATTGAGTGATAATGTGGGTGTTTCGAGGCTGTATGAAAAACTTATTTATTTGGG